GCCTCCTCGCCCCCCGGCTCCCCAAAGCCAGCCGCTGCTGACCGGCGGTGGACTTGGGGAAGCCAGGGGCAGAGCAGCTGGGGTGCAGCCAGGTTGGTCCCACAGCGCCGCCCTCTCCCACACTGCGCAGTTCCCCGCCGAGCACCTCTTCCCCCCCCCACCCGAGACCCCTCATAGCCCCCCCTTCCGATAGTCCGGCATATTTGATAATCCGGCACCCCCTGGGTCCCAAAGGTGCCGGATTATCGGAAGTTTACTGTACTATGTGCTTTACTGAGAAAGGCCACTCCCCTTCTGGGGAGTCAGATGTGCATGTGTAATGCTGATAGGCAGAACCAAACCTTGGGGCAGGAGTCGCTGCAGCTTGAGCTAAGGTCATAGAGCACACTCATTCTTTCTCTCTGTAAATGATTTAAGTGCCACTACATGGGACAGTGCATTGCACCCAGAAGGTGTGTGGGTTACCCATGTTGGAGCTGAGTGTGTTTTAGGAGACTCCTGTGTTACAGCACTTCTACTTATAGCAAACCTCCCTTACGTCCATCCTTGGAGATGCAGACAGGCAGAACAGATCTCAGTGGAGAATCTAGCCCTTAGAGTAGCCTGAGGTTTCTCTCTTACCGTGCTAGCATTCCATAGGTCATATCTGGAGGTACTTTCGGAGGGGCTCTCTTAAAACGACTCTCATCATCTTCATTGCAGCGGATGTCCTTCCACTGGCGGTACAGGTTGAATTCACGTGCTGTGACATAACCAGCCTTAAGAGCTCCCCGGTTCATGGCCTTGTAGTCCCGTTGCATCTCCCTTGGGGAAGGGGGCTTGGGTTTCATTGAGTGCCAGTGACCTATCGCTAAGAGCCAGAACAAAGAAAGTTACTAGAAATCAGTTTGAATAACCCATCCTGGGTGAAACTCATTCTGGTGCAGAGGGCCCACTCGAGGCCTACGTACAACATCACTGGGACTCAGGTGATGCATAGACCTTTTGCTAGTCCTCTACTCAGAGTGAAATTCTAAAATTCAAACTGCGTTCATATCAGTACAGTGCATACAGAGACAGGCAAGAACTGGCAAAAATCCATAAATCTCAAGTGCAGAGTTCACGTTTCCCCCAGTTTTCCACCTCCCCCCATCCAGTTTATAAATGCTTATAAATCACCAATTTTGGCAAATTTTGTCTATTTTTAATTCACAGAAAGTTATGTAAATTGCCACAAGCATCCAATGCAAAAGCCAGTTCTGAGCATAAAGTGGGATAATTCAAGCCTGTCTCTGCTTAGATTTGGGCCCATCTCTGCTCATTTTTCATATCCAAGAGCAAAAGTTTCTGCAAGGGTAGATCAGCTTCAAAAGTTGTAAGGAACCTTGAGTTTGCAAATAGCTGTGCATTTTCTTAGAAAATCTCTGTACACTCACAGGAAGGCCTCAGCAACATCACAGAAGCATCAACAACAGCCTGGTCTTGATTGAAGCACATGGTTGGTTTCAAACATTCTATCCTCTCTCTGCATGTGTCTACACAGCAGCACTAGCTCAAAATAAGCTATGCAAATTGCACAGTTTATTTTGAGAGAGACTGTCTACACAGCGCCAAAGTTTGAAATAGATCACTATTCCAATAAGTCCCTAAATCCTCATGGAACAAGGTTTACTGGGATGTTGGAATAGCAAGAGCATTATTTTGATTGCATTTCAAAATAATGGGTGTACTCTTAAGATGCGGAAAATGCTATTTCAGGATACCAGACGTATCCCGAAATAGTGCTGCTGTCTGCACATACCCAATGGGAAGCAGTTGACCATGTGTTTGAGTACCAGGCTTTGTTTATATTTGGAATAAGCCTTGATTCAACCATCAGAGTCTCGCCAGGGGATGTGGGTGCACTATTACAAGCCCTGAGTATAAAGAAGGAAAGCTGTGACTTGCACTAGTTAACCTTACACTGGCTTCAAACCAGGAGTAAACTCACCTGGAGCATGTTACAACTTTCCTCGTCTACATTTTTGTGGCTTGCAGTGCTGCAGCTAAACCTGATGGTGACTATTGATGAGTTGGATCCCAAATATACATAAGTCCAGGGACTCTTGGCCAGGGGCTCTTGCACACAACAAAGACCACAGATGCTGTTCCCATGAGCAGGTAAAATGTTACTCTCCCCCTTCAGCTCAGTTAGTGTTTTGTTTCCTCCCATTGGTATTAGGACTTTAAGAAGCACAAGGCATGCTGTTACACTCTAACCTGCAGGTTGTTTGGTGACCTCCAGGTGAGGGAAACCTTTTAATAGCCTCTAATGCTGTAGTGGGCAACCTGAAGCCTGCGAGCCACATGCAGCCCATCGGGGTTCTATGTATGGCCCATAAGACATTTTGTTTACTGTTGCCCACAATGCAGGGTTGCCAGATCCTGCTGGTTTTCATCTACATAGGGTTTTTTTTACTACCAATATTACAAAAATGACATGTACTTAAAGCGAAGGCACGTGACGTGAGGTACATGATGATTGCACACAGCATTGTGAGAGCCATGTGCTCCCTCTGTATTCCATCAAAGCACTGCTATGCTTCAGTCGGCCCACCCCGCAAATTCTAGGCACACAAGTGCAGTTGGCAAAACTACCCTATCCCAGGAGACCATCTTGGTTGTGAAAATCTTGTGGCCTCTGAGATAAAGGAGGGCCACTCATGCATCCCACTCACTAGCTTAGGTTGCTCCTCACTGCTCTAATGGGAACTCTAATCTTTATTTGCATTGTCATACCTTCAGGTACACCTCCATCATCCCCATGAAGGTATAACCCATAGGCAAAGTCATAGCCTGGAAGAGTGTAGCAGCTTCTCCGAGGTTTTCCTAGTTCTGCCTGCAAGGGAAAAGATGGAGGGAGAGAGGGGGAGAAAAATAAGATTTTTTTCTTAACCAGTTAAAGCCCCTGAAAATAGGAATTTGTAATAAAAGCTCAGATAGGCCATGTTTACAGTGGGAAAAATTCTCAAAATGTTCCCAGTGTGGCTACCACCTGTTTGATTTCCCCAAGTGTCACCAATGGTAGGAGCTCTAACATAGACAGGTTGATGATAATGTCAATTTGACTTTCTCTGAGGCAACCAAGAGATTTAAAATGATAGCACCCGGGGCGGCCCGTCCATATAGGCAAACTAGGCGGTCGTCTAGGGCGCCAAGTTAAATTGGGCACCAAACTGTGGTGCAATACCATTTGGAGGTGAGGGCACCGATTGCATGGTTCACCTAGGGCACCCGTTGCTGGCAGCTAGTCTAGGGCCACCCCTGGCTAGCACATACTTGGAACCTGGTCTTCACATTGCTAACGAAGGCGGAGCTCAACTGGTCTTCACAAGGCCAGACGTATTACACTCTCAGGAATTGTCTACAAATGGTTCTGTCCCATGTACATCAGCAACTACTTCTGTCGCCTCTAAATGAGGCTGAGCTAGGAAAGCTTGCTGCTTGCAACCATTTTCAGCAATGGGTCATTTCCTAGTGGAAAGGGGTTCTTTTAAGCCTGGCTGTTGTCTGAAATGGGACTCTAAAACCAGCACCCGCGGAAAGAGAGGCTCTTGTTTTGCTGAAGGACACAGGAGCAGAACATTTCACATTTTCACACTTTTAAATTTTTCATCCATGCAATACAGTAATTCATCATTTAACACGTGCCCGCTTAACATGTTTTTGCGATAGCACAATTTTCTTTTTAGGGAACGTATTTTGAATTACATGACCATCCCCGGAATACACGATTTCCCCAGCCGGCCCATCGCTGGCAGCTGTGCGAGGCTTCTCCCGCCTCCCTGCAAAGCGGCGGAGGGTTTGCTGTTTGCCGCGCCGTTCCCTGGCGACCCCCCCTCGCCAGACGCAGTGCGGGTCCCGGCAGACCTGTCATAAGGGCATACTCCCAACCCCAATCCCTCTCCCCTCTCCTCCCCTTCCCTTCCCCAGAGCCAAACACCTCCCCTCCCTGCTGTAACCCAGTCCCCTTTCTCCCCCAACCTTATGTCCTGGTCCCAACAGACACCACCGCTTGAAACGCAACCCCCACCTCTTCCATTATTTTCAATGGGAAAATTGACCCACATAACACGTTTTCACTTAACATGATCGTTTTCTGAAACATATCTATAGTGTTAAATGAGGAATTACTGGATTATTGTGCATTGCACCAATGAAGGGTTTCCTTCTGCACTTGTTTATGAAAATGACCTACACTCTCCAGTCCTTAATTACATTCAGCCCCTCTATTCAAGTATTTGCAGCTGTAAACTAATTTGGACTGATGGATGGGAGTGGAGGGAAGCAAACTGACCATTCTTACATTTTGTCAGAGAAAAACATTACTTATCAGGTTTGTCCACGGTAGTGTGAGCCAACATTTGCTTTAGTTTTGGGATTTTATTTTTTTATCCATGTGCATTTGAATCCCTCTCCCAGATTCAAATGGACTCCAAATCTCAAAACAAAATTCCATCAAAACCATCAAGGTTCACTAGGTTTGGAGTCAAAACCAGGAGAAACTGTAAATTTCGCATGTTTGTCTCAAATTCATAAGTCAACTTAGATTTTCTCTTTTGCGAATGAATACACATGGATTTGAAATATTAAAATAGAATATGTTCAAATCCACTTGGTTAATTCTGAGTACATATATCTATTTGAACAAGGTTATGGAGCGATACTTCTGCAGATTATACCTTTTTGTGTCTAAAAGCCCTTAAATTTCCTTCAGCTCTTTGTGTGTCTTTCATTTACAAGTTGTACATGCCTTTCGAAAATGGGAATTCACCCCAGAAGAGCCTATCATACCCTCGCACATGTCCGGGAATGATCAATAATCTCAGAGAAGCCAAATCTAAGCAACCAACGGGGAGAAAGAAAAAAAAAAATATTAGTGACGGGTGCTTGTGGCTCAGCAAAGAAAGCATGAACACAATACGTCCATTTTTATTTAGTTTTAAAATTAACTCTCTTTTGCTTTCCTGTGTCTATCCCATCTTTGTGCAATCTGTGGGATTAACCAACCTCACTTCAGTCTTGTATCTTTGGACTGTGATCTCCATGGTGAAGTCCCTCTGAAATATGCAAGTCTTGAAACCTTTTTGCAAGGGAGGGGGCAAAAAGGAAAGGGGTGATGACTGGCTGCCTGAAAGCTCATGTCCAGTGTGTTTCTGCTTTTGGATGGCTGGAGCAAGCATAGGCAAGGAGCTCCCAACCTCCCTTGTTCTTTCTGTGTGGTTTGGGATGGGATATTTTTCAGACTAGAGAGAGTATAACTATGACGTTGCCAGGTTGTGTACGGTCACCATGGCAGGAGGGGTGTGGAAATTCTCAACTCTAGCCACATGTGGATATTTCAAAACCATCAGCAGTGAGACAGTGATATTGAAATGACTGTTGTTATACTCCAGGGTCAAAATCCTTTTGAGAATCAGTAGGCAAATCACACCTCCCTGGCCCAACACTGCCCTTTCTGCAAAGCCTGGGTCAACAGGATGAAAGAGATTTTTGGAAGGCCAATAACCCCCCCCCTTCCACCAATCTGACACCTGCTATACAGTGGACACCTGCTATACAGGGGCTATACAGAGGATCAGTAGCCACGGAGCACTCTTACAATAAGAATTTAGCTTTACAATTGGTGCAGTGGCTGATACCTTGTGCCATATACTAATAAACCAGGTGTGGGGAATCTAAACCCTGGGGGCTGGACTCAGCCCCCAGCTTGCCTGGATCCAGCCCCCAAGGCTCGGGGTTCCCCCCCCCCCAGCATTGGGGAGCCCGCGCTGGTGCTCCAGCCACAAACACCTCCCCACAACTTCCCTTATGGGGCTGGAGCACTCCGCTGCTGTGGGGGGAGGAGCCCTGAGCCACGTGGGCTGGAGTCAGGCAAGCCAGAGCTGAATCCCACCCACAGATTCTGCCTGGTGGAGGGAGGAAGCTGCTCCACATGCTGCAGCTCCCCTTCCCCCTGGCTGCTGCAGTAAAGCGCTGCCTAGAAGCTTTTCTCCCACACAATCTACTAGCCCGGTCCCCCCTAGGCGCTGCCGTGCGAGGAGAATGTGGGGAGTGTCTTTCTGCTTCTCAGTTGGGGGCCATGTCAGTGAGGGGTGTTTTTTTGTTTTTTGTGGTTTTGCTTCACTTGTGGCCCCGGACTGATTTTTCTGTGGGCCAGTGGCCCTCAACCCCCAAAAAGTTCCCCCCCCCCTGCAATAAACCCATCCTCCTTCTGTGCTTGTCTATACAGCTCCCAGCGAATGCTTGACAGGCCTGCGATCTGCAGTGCACACCGGTATGTCGCATTCCAGCTTCCCCAGGTAGAACCTGCCAGCAGGCACCGACGCAGTCCTGTTCCAAACAGGGCAGCGTGAGCTTACACTAAGGGACACGCAGTATGCTCAGCAGGGTCCCCAGGCAGGAGCTGGAGTACAACACACTGGTGTGCTCTACAAGTCACCCCTCTGCAGTCCAGACTCCAGCACAGCCAACTGGCAAAACCTTATGTGGTTGCCTTTAAGAGGTGCTTGGGGCGTAAGTCTCTGGAGAAGGGAAATGGCACTGAATATCTGCAGGCTGGAGAGGCGATGCCATAATCTGGCAAGTTAAAGAAAAGGAAACGTAACATAAGTCAAAGGCATCGAGGAGTCCTGTGGCACCCAGTGCAGACTAGGACTTACAGACTAACAGATGTATTTGGCCATAAGCTACCCCTCTGAGGAAGTGGCTTTTACCCAGGAAAGCTTATGCCCAAATATATCTGTTAGTCTCTAAGGCCTGGTCTACACTAGGACCTTAGTCCAAAGTTAGCCCCCAAAGGTCAATTTTGTAAGCGGTGCGTCTGCATTCCCAAGCCTGTAATTCCGGAATAAGGGGTTGTGGAATTCAAACTCGGTAGGCTATGGAACTCCGGCTGTGGAATTCAAACTCATGAGGAATAATGCCATTCCCAAACTTATAAGTCTGAAATAACGTTAGTGTGGTCGCTCCAGTGCCACAAATTCAAAATACATTGGCCTCCAGGAGGCCTCCCGTCGCTCCCCAGAGTGCTTGCTGGGGCTCTGAGTCTGAGGTAGCGCATCCACATTAATGGAGCCTGCCTCAGGCTATGTTTGATTTCTCCCCATAGTGAGGACACGGAACTTCCAATTTGTAAAATCGGGTACCCAAAAGTGGAATTTAGTAAATTTTGAAATAATCTCCTAGTGTTGACACGGCCTAAGGTGCCACAGGAGTCCTTGTTGTTATTGCAGATACAGACTAACATGGCTACCCCTCTGATGAGTCAAAGGGTGAGTGCTGACCAGGGCCACTAGACCAACAGATGCCTCTTTAAATGAAAATCAAAAAATAAACAAAGGAAGGGGTAAAACAGCCTTCCTTCTACCCTTCTCTTCCTTCACTTCTTTATTCAGCTTGTGACAATCAGCCACAATGCCTCTTTATTCAGCTTGTGACAATCAGCCACCATGCCTGTCTTGGGGACCAGCAGTTAGTAAACACTAAAACTCTAAGTAATTTACCACCAGGGTTTATTTTCTCTCTATTTTAACAACTTTTGCTGAATGTGGCCCATACAGAATGGCAGGGTATTGGATCAGGTCTGCCATGGTGACTTGCCTGAGGCCCCAGATTTAAACTGCCCTGTGCGCATGGAGGAGACAGGGTTTTGCCATTTGAGTATTGTTTTATTCTGCAAATGGACGCAGCCCTGCATCCATTCTTATGAAGAGCAAACCCTTTACAAATGAAAGGGCTAAAACTGTTTCTTTTTAAATGAAAGTTTAGGGTATTGGATCAGGTCTGCCATGGTGACTTGCCTGAGGCCCCAGATTTAAACTGCCCTGTGCGCATGGAGGAGACAGGGTTTTGCCATTTGAGTATTGTTTTATTCTGCAAATGGACGCAGCCCTGCATCCATTCTTATGAAGAGCAAACCCTTTACAAATGAAAGGGCTAAAACTGTTTCTTTTTAAATGAAAGTTTTGGTTCAGACTCGTGAGGGCCACCAGAGAAACCCTGCTACACCAAGGGTGGGCTATAATTTTAGACGGCGGGGGGGGGGGGGGGGGGAACTGGTCCCAGGTTGCCCTGGAAGGGGTGGGGCCTTGGGCAGAAGAGATGGGGCCAGGTCACTTCTGTGCTCCCCTGCCCACAGACCCTGATTGGCTGTTCTGGTGGTTCCCTCTAGGCGCCACCCTATCGGGCTGTGGGTGGGGGAGCGCACAAAGTCTCTTGCTCCCTGCCCCCACCCTGCAATGGGTGCTTGGTGCTGTGCACCCCTGGTGGGGAAGGAGGCCCTGATTGACCTGAGGGCAGGGGACTGGCAGGGCATCTATGGGCCAGATCCGCTTGCAGAGGCTTCCTTGCCCACCCATGTGCTACAATGAACCACTGCAAGCTCTATTCAGTCCCTGAGTAGCATTCCAGTGGGGACAGTGCATTACATTTCTTACAGCTACTGTTGCATTATCCCCCTTGGGGGGAAGGGGCAAAGGACAAGGCTGGGGGGGAGGTGCAATATAAAATGCCTGTTGTGCAAGCTCTATTCAGTCCCTGAGTAGCATTCCAGTGGGGACAGTGCATTACATTTCTTACAGCTACTGTTGCATTATCCCCCTTGGGGGGAAGGGGCAAAGGACAAGGCTGGGGGGGAGGTGCAATATAAAATGCCTGTTGAAATTGTCAGTGTGGGGTGGAGTGCAGGGGACTCAGTGCAGGGGTTGCTGGGGGCATAGGGCAGGAGGTGGGGATGTGGGAAATGCAGGAGTCAGGTTTGGAAGTGTGAGGACGAGCTCAGGGCAGGGGTTTGGGGCCTGGGCGTAGGGTTGCCAGGTGTCCGGTATTGACCCAGACAGTCCGGTATTTTCACCTTCTGTCCGGTAAAAAAAAAAATTCAGAAAATACCAGACACCTAAAATGTTGGTATTTTCTGATTTCTCTTCCGGACCAGGAGGAGAAAATCCTGGGTACTTACCTGGTTCCACACAGGAGCAGTATGGCCCGGAGCAGGAAGACAAGATGGCACAGGCCGCCAGCAGCCTCTTAGGGCCAAAAAGCCCTAAAGGCATTTTTTAAAGGGGCCATGTTGGGTTTTTTATTTTTTTTTTTGCTCAGGGTCCTTTTTTTTCTTCTCCAAAACTTTGGTCTCTCCCCCTCTCGCCTTTTCTTTTCCTCAACAGAATATTTTCCCCTGCTGGTTTTTTTTTTTTTTTTTGGAGGGGGGTGTTTGGTATATTTGGTTAAACCATCTGGGTGGTGGATTAAGATAGGGTTGGGAGAGACAAGCCCCCCAGCCTTGCTACCAACCCTGCCCCTTCTGTCCTCCCAGCACCACAGGGAGGCCCCACCCTCCCCGGCTCCAGAGCACTGGGGTGGGCAGGCAGCGCATGGCCCCAGTCTCCCTGGCCTTGGAGAGGTGGGGTGGGAGGAGAGTGTGTGCTGCCCTGAAGCACAGGGAGGGTAGGTGCTCCGGGGCAGCAACACTCCACCCCCAGTACCCTTACAATAGGCATTCTGGGGGTGGAGTGTGGGCGGGGCCATGACTGACGGTCTGGAAGGGAAATGCCTTCCCTTGCTTATGATACCTGCCACCCCTGGTTTGGGTTGTGTGTGGAGGGGTGCAGGAATCAGGGCAGGGGGTTCAGGGCAGGTGTAGGAAGTCTGCAGGGGCCAAGGGTGCCTTTTAGGGAGAGAAGGGGGAACTAAACCACCCCCTTATCCTACCAATGGTTCTTGTTGCTTGCTCTTCCCTTTCTGTCACTGTCGGGGAGTGAGAGGAGAGGTCACAGCCTGGGTCACGCACTCCTCTGCCA